ATACAAAAACAAATGGTTTCGCATCACTGATTTGCTAACCAAGCTTCCGCGCGAGCTCTTGCGAAATCCGCCGACCCCTTGTGGGTCTCTAGGCGTGTGATATAGTTCCCCCCCCCATAATCCCCCCCCCAGGGGCCCCAAACCGGAGATTTGACCCCCCCCCCCGGGCCCAGCACGAGCGCGTCACGGGGCTCTTTCGGGCCCAAAAGGGGATCAAGACAGGCCCAGAAGGCTCCAAGAGACCTCCAAGACGGCCCACGAGGGGCCCGAGACGCCAAACGAGCGCTCCCAGACGCCCAAGATGGCCCCAAGACGAGCCTAAGGCCTCCAAGACGGCCCAAGAGGTCCCCACGAGGCCCCAAGAGGCCTCCAAGATGCGTCCCAAGAGGGTCCCTAGACGCAAAAATTGGCCCATCCCCTTCGTAAAACGTATAATTTTCACAAATTCGCTTTCTGGGCTTTCCGACGCTCCAAGACGGCCCAAGAGGCCCCGAAAACCGCCCCAAGACGGCCCAAGAAACCTCCAAGAGGGCCCCAAGATAGCCCAAGAGGGCCCCAAGACGGCCCAACAAGCGTCCAAGACAACCCAACAGGGCCCCGAAAAGGGCCCCAAGAGCGCTCCAGGAGCGCCCCAAGTGGCCTCCAAGAGAGCTCAATATGGTCCCAGACAGCCCAAGAGCGATCAAAGACACCGAAGATGGCCTCCTGTCGGCCCAAGATGCCCCCAAGAGGCCCCAAGAGGCATCCAAGATGCGTCCCAAGAGGGTCTCTAGACGCAAAAACAAGCCCGCTCCCTTCGTAAAGCGTGCTTTTTTTCACAAATTCGCCTTTTGGGCTTTCCGACGCTCCCAGACGGCCCAAGAGGCCCCCAAGACCGCCCCAAGACGGCCCAAGAAGCCTCCAACAGGGCCCCAAGACAGCCCAAGAAGGCGCTAAGACGGCTCAAGAGGCGCCGAAGACGGCCCAAGAGAGCCCCGAAGACGACCCCAAGAGCGCTCCAAATGGCTTCCAAGAGAGCTCAACATGGTCCCACACGGTCCAAGAGCGATCGAAGACACCCGAAATGGCCTCCAGATGGCCCAACACGCCCCTGAGAGGCCCCCAAGATGCGTCCCAAGACGGTCCCTGGACGCAGAAATGTACTTATTCCCGTCGTAAAACGTACAATGTTCACACATCCGCCTTCTGGGTTTTCCGACGCTCCTAGACGGCCCAAGAGGCCCCGAAAACCGCCCCAAGACGGCCCAAGAGGCCCCCAAGACGGCCCCGCGACGGTCCAATATGGCCCCAAGACGGCCCAAGAGGTCCCCAAAACGGCCCAAGAAGGCTCCAAGACGGCACCAAGAGGGGCCCAAGAGGGCAACCAACAATTCAAAAATCTAGCTTTCCGCCCCCACGAGCCCCAGGGGGCCCCAAGAGTGCCCCAACAGGCCGCCAACGGCCCTCAAGAAACCGCCAAGACGCCCCAAGGAGCCCACAAGAGGCCCCCAGGAGGCCCCCAAAAGACCCCCAGACGCTTCCGCATTGCGAGCCGTCACGCTAACTGCAATGCACTCCGCGCATACAACCTTACTCTTCCTCGCGACGTGCTCACTATCTTGCTCGGCGCTAATGTGCTGCTGCCACGCGAACTGTTTCGTGCGCGCTGCGAACGTCAACAGCCTCTTCACCCGTTTCGATTTATCTGCCACATCTTTCGCTGTGATGCTTCGCTGATCACAGCTTCCACACACTACTCTTGCTCCTTTCGTCTTCCCGTGCTCCTCCACTTGGTTGCGGGTCGAAAGGCCGACCTCCCAGAAGGACACCCCGCACCCGGGTGCACAGCACGCAAAACGCTCGCAAATTTGCGGTGGTCTGGGGCGTGTTTAAACACGCCCCAGACCACCGGCATCACGCAAACATTTGGACCCCCTACGTATCTGCCACCACCCGCGCGCGACACCGCACCCTCACACAAGACGCCGCTGGCCAGACACTCCTGGCCTCGCAACACTCACAGAAGGGGTCGGCGGATGTGGCGTAAGCCTGTAGAGTCTGAAGAAAACAATAATTCGGTTTTTCCAGATTTTCACAAAATGCTACCAAACGGGCGAAGCGCGCGCGCATGTCGAAATCTGTCGAACGCCCTTGCGCGTGTGCCGTCGCGAGAATCCTCTGCAAAAAATGGGACGAAGTGCAAACGCGCGCGTCGTCGCGGGCGTATGCCGAAAACCTTCAGAACCCATCGGTTTCGGAAGGATTTCGAAATCGCGCAACCAAAAAACCTACCAAAACCATGGTTTCGCAACACGGATTTTAACAAAAGCGTGCGCGCGCGCTCTTGCGTCGTCGTCGTCGTCGTCGCCGTCCTCCCTCCTCCCACGTCGTCGTCGTCGTCGTCGTCGCCTACGTCGTCCTCTGTTTTTTCTCGTCTTCGTCGTCGTCGTCCTCTTTGGCGTCGTGGTCGTTTCCGTCGTCGTTGTCGCCGTGGTCGTCCTCCCTCCTCCTCCCACGTCGTCGTCGTCGTCCGTCGTCGGCGTTTCGTCGTCGTCCCTCCTATTTCGTCGCCGTCGTCGTCGTCGTTGTTGTCGTCATCCCTCCTCCCTCGTCGTTGTCGTCGTCGGCGTCGCCGTCCTTCCTCCTTCGTCGTCGTTCGCGTCGTCGCCGTCCTCCCTCCTCCCTCGTCGTTGTCGTCGTTGTCGTCGTCGTCGCCGTCGTCACCCTTCCTCCTCCCTCGTCGTCGCCTTCGTTGGCGTCGTCGTCGTCGTCTTCGTCGTCGTCGGCCTCGGCGTCGTTGTCGTCGTCGACGTCGTCGGAGACGTCGTCGGTGTCGTCCTAGTGGTTGTCGTCGGTGTCGTCGTAGTCGGTCTTAAGAGGTTTTGCAAACCAAGTTGCGGGTGGGTGGGTGGGATGTTTGCGCGAGCAGTGGAGAGGACAGCTTCAAGACAGCCAAAGTGGATTGCACCACATAGGTTGCACCACGTAGTTCGTTTCACATCGATTGCACAACACAGGTTGCACAGCAAATGCTGCACCACGCACGTTGCACACCACCGATTGCTCCACATAGACTGCACCACATGCACTGCTAGAACGCACACCGTTTTGGGCCCACGCTGGCCAACCTCTTGGAATCAACGCGTGTGCCCGCTCAGTTTCATATGTAAGGGATAAGGGAAAACATACAAGGCGCTATACATATGTGGCATGTGGTGCAAGCTGTGTGCTGCAGGCTCTGTGGTGCGGCCTGGCGTATGTGGTGCAAGCATTGTGATGGAAACTGGCTAGACACACACACGCGCTGAAAGCTAGGCGGCAGGAGCTATGTGGTGCAAACTGCTTGCTGAAAACTCCGCAGCCCAACCGTCCCACGTGCCTTGGCCTCGGCGGAAAGAGCCAAAGCTCAGCGACGACGTTCACATTTCCTGGAGGCCGGCGCTCGCGCAGCGAGCGAAGTGCCTGGGCGGTCGCACACCGCACAGCTGGCCGGCTCAGTGGCGCAACCGATGCGCTGCAAACTCCGTGCTGGAAACCACGCCGTGCGGGCGAGGTCAGCGCACGGGACGCCCACGGGCGGCCTCTGGCGGCGACCGCGCAGACACCGCGGACCGTCAGCCAGCGCTGGTCAGAGGCGCCCACGAGGCGCCCACGGGCGGCCGCTGGGCGAAACATCCAGAAGAGCATGGCGGCGCACGAGGCGCCTCTGGCCATCGCTCGGGCGTCCATGCCCTGTGCTTTTGTCGGACTCGTGCGTGGCTTTTTCCGCAGGACGGTCCAGGATGCTCCTCGGTAATCCCCGCCGAGAGCAAGTGCACACGTCCGAGCGGTACCGAGGTCTGCGGAGAGCCCGCGGGCGGCCACCGGTCGAGGAGCCCAGAGGCGCAGGCCAGCTGACCAGAAGAGGAGCAGGAACTCCCGGGAGCAGCTGTTTCGGGAGCACAGTGCGGGAGCCGATGGGGGCCCTTGAACTGAGGCACGAAGATAGGCAGCGGTCAGGGGGTATGAGAAGGCGACTCACCAGAAAATGCAATGACCGAAAAACTCGAAGAACTGCTGCGCGGAAGCGGCCGCAAGAAACCCTCGCGAGATAACCAACCCAGAAAACTCGCGCGCGAGGTGCAACTTGAGGGGCAACTATGGGGGGGGGACTGGCATAGGGAGGGGACATCGATCGACGTGAAACTGGCGGCACATCGCCGATAGATCGGCGATAGGCCCCCGATCATGAATCCCCCTATGCCTATCGCCCCCCCAACCCTATGCCTATCCCCCCTGTCGTTGCCCCCGACACTTGGGGGGGGCACGAAGGGACCCTGAGTGCAGCAGTCTCTCGGTGCCCTGGAGGTCATCGCGCCGCCTGCGCAGCGAAGCAGCCCAAGGTACCCTGACCAAGAGCAGCTGGTTTCCTGAGGCGAACCTCCACTCGGGGGCGTCCAAGAGGGGGACGACGTCCGAGAGGGGGTTCGCAAATCATGGCCCGAGGCATATGCGCAGACCAGGGGGGCCAAGGGACGCATTGAACTCAGAGGGGGGGCCATGAAATCTGGGGAGATATCCTGGCCCCGGCCATGGTATCCACCCCCCTTGATCAGCATCCCACTCTTGGCCGCCCCCGACCCACTGCAGATCCTCGAAGCCCGCGCCTCGATGTTCCCTCTCTGCGAATCGGAGACGATGAGACGCAACGTCAGGGGGGGGCCGGTCATGGGGGGAAACGTCGATCTGGAAACGGCGATAAAAAACATGACTGCCCATGTTGGACATAAGTTGCCAACTCTCTGTCGCTGTACTGTTCAGTACGAGCCACGTCCACATCGCAGAGCAGGGGGAACTGGGGAAGGGGCCTGCTCCGATGTGTGACCACCGCGTTCTCCGCGGCGACCTCCGAAACCGACCTGGAGGTGTTGCTCGAGGCCCGACATCACGCAACGACTCCTGAGCCGATGCCACGGACCTTCCTGCGAGAGTCGGGGACGAAGAGGGCCCAGCTTCGGTCTCGGCCGCGGAGAGGGCACCGCCTGATCAGCGGGGCACTTGGCTCCCGTCGCCCCCTGGCCGCCCAGCGTGGGGCCGAAGTCGTCCTCGCCGAAGCCGGAGCCGCCCTCGTCGATCTGCCCCGGCATGTTGAAGCTACTGGGAAGGGAGCCGAGGATGACTCTTTTGGCTCGAGGAGGGAGAGGCCCAAAAATCCACACGTGCACACCCTCTTATCGGAAGATAGAAGAAGCCAATGGACAGCGCGGTTGCCCAAAACGGCCGCCATGACTCGTCCATTGGGAGAATGAGGACGAGAAGGAGGGCGTGGGGAACGGAGACCATGCCGTCGCGTGTGCATCCCCGATGGTCCAATCAGGGGGCAGAGGAAGGCACAAGCGTAAGAACATACGGCAGGGTTCGTGTCGTGACGACCCCGGCGTTGGTTCGACCTCGACCGACTGGCGGTTTCTTGATCGCCAGATCGTTCCATAGAGGCCGATTCCGGGGCTCTGGCGGCGTTCAACCTTGAACGCCCGCGGCGGGGTCGCCGCCGCGTCGACACGATCCCAAGCTGCCGTACATTTTCGAAGGTCCGCGCGGATGTCTCCTGGATCGGCACTGAAGCCCCTCCATCGCGCGCGGAGCGCGCCAGGAGTGGCGCCAGAGGCCTCGCTAGGGGGGGTCCTGCGTAAATGCATTCTGATCCCAGATGCTGATGGGCCCGTTTTCCATTACCACCAACATAAATTGGAGGGGGAGGGGTCCTCCTCCTCCTCCTTCTCCTTCTCTCCGTCCTCCTCCTCCTCGTCCTCCTTCTCCTCCTTCCCCCTCCAATTTACGGTGGTGGTGGTGGTGGGAAACAGGCTCATCAGATGCGGTGTGTATTTGCACGCGGAGCTTGGGGCTTCGTAGGGCCCTCCGGGGGCCCTCGGGAAGCCCATTGCTTCTGTGCCGCCCTGACGGCGAGAGCCACGGCCAGGCAAGGAGGGCAAAGGGGGGCAGGGAACTCGAGAGAGCCACGGGGGAAACGAAACGGTGAAGAATCGTAGGACACAAGGCGTCCTAATGAATGCGCACGAGGTGAAAGGAACGCGTCGGCCACGTGAGGGTGTGGGGCAAGCGTGCACCGCCGAAGGTTGTCCCTCGCGTCGTGGGAGGGTCCAGGCTGAACCTCCTGTTCTGTGTCGGCCTGGCGGCGAAACCAGGGATCCGGGAAGGATCGCGAGGGGGAGCAGATAGCTCGAGTGGGCTTTGAGAAGGGACCGACCATCCCGGCAATCCGATAGAGGCGCCTACCACGAAATGTTCTGATCAAAGAAAAATGTAGAGTTAAGATGAGCCGGACGGAACAACTATGTTCTTAAAGCATGCACCCGACATATCGAAACAATACTGTCTGGTCAAGACGTGTTCATATCACATTCCGCACAAGTCACAAAAGGACCTCAGATCATTCGTTGGTGCTCCTATAAGCAAGTCAAGACGCTTCGCCACTGCTCGACACGTGGGACGCGAAACGGCGGCGCAGTGCGGGACACCATGCGCTCCCAATGAGGCGGCGACATCCGAACCCTCCACCCACCAATCATCGATTCTTCTGAATCGATGGGAGGCGGGGATAGGGGTACGGAATTCGCCACGTGCTCGACGAAGTCCGAACCCTCCCCTCAGCGCCCATCGAGTTGCCTGAATTGTTGATCGGCGCGAGGGTAGGGTTCGGGCTTCACCGCCGACCGATCGCATTCCGTCGTCCCCGCGGGCCTGGAGCTCGACCCAAGCTTCCCTGCGGCGGCCATCGCACCCCGGCTGGCCAGCCCCGCGGAAGGAGGAGGGAAGAAGGAGTCAAGGGAGGGAGGCGGAACGACAGGAGCGAGGAAGGGCCCAGGGCTTTCCTGAGTAGAGAAAAACACGCATATACATATCAACTTTGGAAGCTCCGCGAGGATTCCTTGGATCCGCGCTGGACCACCGTCTCTGGCACGCGGAGCGCGCCAGGGGCGGCGCTGGAGGCGCCACCAGGGGGACCCAACGCCGATCCAAGAAACCCGCGCGGAGCTCAGAGAAATCATGTTTCTGTCGTGTTCTGTTCTTCGCCCCTTGGCACCTCCGGGATCTACTGACCTGGGTCGCTGCAGCCCCGGTTCAATCGAGCTTTGCAGCATCCCGCGAGATCCTGCAGGATTCTGCGCCGGGTCAATGCCCCCCTGGTTCTGCAGGATGCTGCCAAATGTGGCGCTCTGGCTGACCCCCGTTTACCTTGACCCTCGTCTCAAGGCTCCCGAACACCCACCGACTCTGGGCGGTCGGCAGGAGCAATGATCCGTCATGCACCGCTTCTGTTCACAACTAGGGCCCAACACAAGAGAGACACGTCATGGCCTCTGTCCCTCGAGACCGCTACGGATGTATAACGGCTTCTGCTATCCCTCGACTCGCGCTGGAGATTCCACGGCTTCTCCATGTGTATCTGGATACCTGTGGATGCATCTCAATGTCTCTGGACTCACGTGGAGTTGCGCAGAGTTATCTCGATCTTTATGGCTAGAACCCTGCTAGTCGATTAGGGACGATTTATCGAGCCCATGAGGGCAAGAGCCCATTTCCTCACGGTGGCCATCCCCTCTCATGACCGAGACCGGCTTTTCATCCCGAGTCGTCTTTTGCCAGGGCATCCGCACGCGATCCCAACCTCTGCAGATCAGAGAGCTGAATCGGCGGCCGAGGTTCAGAATCCGAAACATGTAATTCAGCAGCCAGTGATGGGCCTGTTTTCCACCACCACCACCATAAGTTGGAGGGGGAGGAGGAGGAGGAGGACGAAGAGGAGGAGGAGGAGGAGGAGGAGGAGGTGGTGAAGGAGGACGAGGACGAGGAGGAGGACGACCCCCTCACCCTCCAACTTATGGTGGTGGTGGTGGTGGTGGTGGAAAAAAGGCCCATCAGCCAGGGGGACCCCCAGCAGGGGTGTCCGATATCCCAACGCCGATTGGACCCGCAGGGGCAGGGTTCGCAACCGGCGGCAGAGCGCCGGCCCCGAGGCCCAGGAGGGACCGAGTCCTGCTGCACGGTCGGGGCGCTGACCTTAAGGAACCCTGACTGAGGAACGAGGCCCCTTTTCTCCAGAAGTTGAACTTCGATTTCCCTCCGGAAACCTACGGAAAACGCTGGGCAAACTGCGAAACAAGTGAGGAGCACGGAGCCCCGAATGACCCAACGAACAGAGTTCCTTCCTCTGTAAGGAGCACGGGGCCCCCAATTGCCCAACGGTCAGAATTCCTTCTTCAGCGCCCCGACTGTAAGAACCACTGGTGCACTCGGGGATGGACAGACGTCCCTTTAGTAAAACGTGGTTTAGTGAAAACGACCCAAGGCCCAAACCTGGCGGGCGCAAGCCTGGAAAATAACGGCCGCGGCGCCATCTCGAGAACCGAAAACGGACAATTCACTAATCGACGTGTCACTGTTGGGGGTTCTGTCCGCCCCCGATGTGAGGGCCCCGAGGTGCCTCAGAGCCTCGGACGGCCCCTGGGGCCACCGGGGGACGCGACAGCTCGCGGGGCACCTGCTGGCCGGGCGGCTCCTCACCGGATGCGCCTGCTGCACCAGAGCCCCCCCCCCCCCCCAGCGCGCTTTCGCTCCACGGGGCGCGGCGGGGCCGTCCGGGCCCTTTAGGGAGCCCACAGAGGACGTACGCGCCCAGCTATGTACATGAGCACGGCCTCTCGATCCGCGAGACCGGCCGCGTCATACGAACCTTTGCGCAATGCGTGCTCTCGAAACCAGCGTGGATTGATGCACGTGCACGTCCTTCTGTCGCTCCTGACCCTTCGTCGCCGAGGCGGGGCTCCGGAAAGGCCCCCCCCTCGCCATCGCTCGTACGTCCATTCCCTGTGTTTTTTGTCGGTTTCGTGCGTGGTTCTTTCGCCAAATGATCGAGGATGCTCCTCGATGGTCCTCGCCGAAGGAAAAATGCGCACGTCCGAGCGATGCCAAGCCCCCCGGGATCCTGCTCACGGACGTCGCGCTCGCCCTCGCCGCGGCGCCGTCCCGGACGGCCTTGGGCGCGCCGTCCGAGGGCCTGCGGCGCTCCCGCGGCCTGCCCCCGCTCCCCGGCCTCTCCTCCGCCCGCGGGGCCCGGACGTGCCGAGGCTTGGCCAGACTTTGGCGGCGCGCGCAAAGGGGATAGGGGGATGAAAGCGACGCGAAGATCGGGACAACATCGGATCGGGAGAACTCGAAATCTCTGAGAACCGGCGGGTTTGGGGGATGCATTGGGCGCCGCGGCCGCTCCAGAGCGTTCCGGAACGCTCTGAGAGCGCTCCGGAACGCTCTGGAGCGATTTATCCCGATCCTAACCCTGTTTTAGGGATGGGGGCAGGTGAAAGTGCCGCGGGTGCCGATGGACTTGCGTTACACCCCACTTCGCATGGAAATGAGGATGGGATGGGCAGTCAAGTGGAGGGCGGGAGGCTTCTCTGAGCGAGGCTGCTTCTTAGAAGGCGCCAGCCCTGCATCTGCAGGCACGGCCCGCGCTGTCTGGGAGGCAGAGGTGCCTCTGAGAAGCCTTCCCCAATACCCCTGCCCCCCTCTGCGAGTGGCCGAATGCCCCAACCTCGCCAAACTTCTGCACGCGGGTGCCCCTTTCCGGGCCCAGGGAGCGTCAACAAGGCTGCTCTGGGGAACAGCCGGCCTGGCGGGAGGGGTCAAGAGCTATGGGGCTCACACGGGCTGAACCAAAGAAGTCTGCCCTCCCAGCGGCCGTCGCACCCCTTTGATAGACGAAATGACTACAAGCATTGTGTGTGCGAGGTCCGCCCGGATTTCCATTGCCGGCTGTAACCGTAGCATTAGGTGGGGCATGCCCCCTACGGGCGGATTATGGCCTAAAAATCAAAAATACCAAACCAATGCTGAAAAAGAGTCAAAACATAATAAAACAAACTCGTCCCCTGACTACTTTTTAACTCTTTCTGAATATTCCTCCTGTCTAAGGACACGCCCGATTTAACCGTATCACTCCCCTTCACGCAACACTTGGCGGCGCCTCTGGTACCCCCCCCGGGCGCGCCCTGGGCGCCAGAGCAGGGAGCGATCGAGGGCCAAGCGCCGAACCAAAGACTCCGAGCGGGCCGCTGGCAACTTGCGCTCGCAAGTGGTATATGCTTCTTTCGAGTCGGGCATGAACGATGGCTCGCCCCGTGCACTTGCTTGCGCTGGGAAGGGCGGGGAAGGGGAGATAGGAGGACGAACAGAGGGGAGACGCCAAGGTAGACTGGAGGGCTCACCTGCGCAGGAAAGCCCAAGCAGCCCTGCGCGTATGTTCGGAAAACGCCCAAAGACCTTTGACGACTAGAGCACAAACGCGCTGGATGATGATACTGGAGGATGTTGTCGTAGCTTCGTCCCGATGCAGTATACGGGCCCCGGAGCCGACCGGCTCAAGGAAGGAAGCCCCGGGGAACATCGAGCCAGCATCGGCGATACAACGCCGAGAGATCGGCGACGCGCCCTCGATAACAAGTCCGATTGGTCCTGGGCGGGGTGGGCTATCGGCCCCCTACCGGCGATCCACGGGCGATTGGAGGTCGATGCATACCCCCTCACGTTGCCCCTGGTCGAAGCTCATCAAAACCGAGTCAGGATGAAGCAAGCGGCCACGGGAAAGGAGGAACCGAGAGAGCAGGGGCCCACATCAGGAAACAACAGCCAACGATCAGGCGGAGGACGTCCTCTCCTCTCCTCGAGGAGGGGAAAAAATGTTCCTCCCCTCCTCCTCCTCCTCCTCCTCCTCCTCCTCCTGATTCTGGATTCCTGCTGGTTATATGGTCGTGCAGACGAAGCATACTCCTCATCCTCCTCCTCCTCCTCCTCCTCCTCCTCCTCCTCGTCATCCTCATGATCCTCATCCTCATCCCCTGCCTCCGCCCTCCGTTTCCCTCTCGGCCTCCTCTTCCTCTTCCTCCTCCTCCTCCTCTGCCTCCTCTTCCTCCTCCTTCTCCTCCTCCTCCAGTGGGTTGTCATGAAGGAAACGGGTCCTGATGGAAAAATGAAAAAGGTCTTGGACCCCGAGGCTGAATCTGGGACCACCTTATCACCCTAAGTCCGCTCTGTCTGCGGTCCTGGAGATCTCATGGGGCCCGACCACTTTTGAAGAACTCCAAAACCCCGTATCACCAGGACCCCTTTCCTTCATGGCGAGTTCTGGGAGCAGGAGGGGGATGAGATGCAGGGAAAAAACGGTGGCCATGAGCAAGACTGAGCGCGGAAGCGTCGGTGCCGATCTTGGTCACCGTCCATATCGTCCTCGTGGATCGGCGAGGGCCAGCATTAACCATGACCAAGGCGGGCTTCGAAAAGATCACGCGACATTTCGGTCACGGTGAAAACGTTTTACCATCGAGGTGCGCTGGAGCTGAAGCTGGGGAGGGAATTCAGAAGAGGAGGAGGAGGAAGAGGAGGAGGAGGAGGAGGAGGAGGAAGAGGAAGAGGAGGAGGATCGGGATCGAGATCGAGCTCGTGGAAATCGCGTGTCTGCTCAGTTGGGGCCGACAGAAACCACTGCACGTATCTGCGCCTGGAACTCTGAGTGGCGTTTCTATGTGAAACGGCAAAATCGCGGGACATCCCCTGCTCTCGGGCGGGGCCGTACTGCCCCATCAGAAGCACCCCCCAGAAGGCACGCGGCCGCGAGGGCGCCTCTTGGGGACTGATGAATCTCGGGAGCGGCCAAGAGGGGGGTGTCCAAGAGGGGGGGGTGCAAATCATGACCGGCGGCATGTGCGCGGCCCAGCGGGGGGGCCAGGGACGTAATGAAAGAAAAAAGGCGCCATGACATTTGGGGAAATATCATGGCCCACGCCGTGATATCCACCCCCCCTAGTCATCCCCCCCCCTCTTTGCCGCCCCCGAGAATCACACCTGTCCTCAGGCTCCCCCCCGCGAGCGACGACGCGAGGGGCGGCGCGCCAGCCCACAGGGCCCCCCCCGCCCCCGCCTCGACGACACGGAGCCCGAAGGCCCGAGCCGCACTGCGAACGCAGGGGAGGCGGGGATCGGAGGCGCTGCGTACCCTGGGGGGGGGGGCCTCGGCTGGGGGGGGGGCCTAGGCTGGGGGGGGGGCCTAGGCTGGGGGGGGGCCCTAGGATCAGGAGGGGAACAAAAGCACACAGACACAATTCATCGTCGATTCCCACGAAAATATGAAGAAATGTGGGAAGCGGGGGGGAAGAGAAAACCCCAGAAAATACAGGAAAATCTGGGGTACTGATTTGTGTGTCCCAGGGCCCCTTCATAGGAGACGTCTGAGAGAGCCGGGGATCCCGCTGCATCAACAAGCAGCCGGATCACAAGTCATCTTCCCCGTGAGGTCCCTCGGCCCCTGCCCCCCTCCCCCCCTCCCCGTCCGCGTCCTCTGGGCGATGGCCTCGAACGAAAAGCAGGGGCGGGCGGGAGGGAGGGGCCGTGGGCGGTCGGGAAGGGAAGGGGGGGGGTCGCGGTCTTGTTCGAGGATGGACACACCTCCCTCTAGCAAAACGTGGTCTAGCGAAAACGACCTGAGGCCCGAACCTGGCGGGCGCAGGCCTGGAAAATAACGGCCACGGCGCCCTCTCGAGAACCGAAAACGGACAATTCACCAATCGACGTGTCGCTGTTGGGGGTTCTGTCCACCCCCGACTTATGCTGAGGCACATCCGGTGGCACTCTGTCCTGGCACTCTGTCCTGGGCCACGGGGAGCGCCAGAAGCGAGAGCGCGGGACGCAGAGCGGGCCCCGTCGGGCTTTCGCGGGGGCGGGGACGTAGGCTGTGGGGGGAAGAACTTGCTGTCGCTCTGCCGTTCCCCCGACGCTGGGCGAGAGGCGAGAGGCGGTCTCGAGCCTTCCGGGGGCCCCGCGCTAGCGAAAATCGGGACGTCGGTCGGATTTGGCGGCGTGCACAAGGGGGTAGGGGGAGGGGGGCAGGCTGCTTAGAGGGCGCCATTCTTAGAAGGAGCCTGCTTCTTAGAAGGTGCCGGCCCTACATCTTCAGAGAAAAGGCCCGCGCCTTCTAAGAAGCAGGGATGCTTCTAGGAAGCCTTCCCCCCCTCCCTCATCCCCCCCTTCTGCACGTGGCCGACGGATGTCTGGGACTCGCTCTGCTTCGGGGAGAAGCCTCGGGTTTGGGGGACTCGGGCTGGCCTGATGGGGCCATCATGGGAACGACGAGGCCCAATCTGACATCTGACGCGCGAGCTTCCGCTGCAGACCTCCCACTGAAACCGGCGCGGGGGGCGGCAGCCTGGCGAGGCTCAGGGCACTGTCCGCCAGCATCGGCGGGGGCGGGCATCTGCTCTTCCAGGATGCCTCGGGGCGGGGGGGGGGGGCGGGGGAGGAGGGTGGAAGGAGAGAGGGGAGGTGGGGAGAGAGAGAGAGAGAGAGAGGAAGAGGACGAGCTGGGTGTGCTTGTGCTATATCTGACACTCTACCCCATCCACCCATCCCTTCCCATTGCGCTGATGTGTATATATCTTCGACGGGTGTCATGGCCGACGCGAAACCCCACACGAAAAGGCCCAAGCGTGTCATCTACAATGGGATAAGCTGAGCTGTGAACACTGAAGGAGGACGGGGTGGCGGATGAGCAAGAGGATGAGCAGGAGGAAGAGGATGAGGATGAGGCAGGAGGAGAACGAGAAGGAACAGCCGCAGTAGGAGCAGGAGCACGATGAGCGGAAGGAGCATGAGGACCAGAGGAAGGCGGAGGCGTGAAAAGGAACGGGGCGACAATGACAAGGAAGGACTCGGATCCTGAATTGCGGCCAGTGCTTGGGCGAGAGGCGAGAGCGCCATTGGAAACGACGGGAGCAAAGCGTCGATCCGCAAACGAAGCCAACGCTGCAGCGGAAACACCGAAAACACGTTCCAACCAACAAAAGCAGGAAACATCATGCTTTAAACTTTTAATACGTAAAAAACAAGTGCGGGAAGAACCCTGCCCCGCTCGGGCTGAATCCGAGGAGAGAGGAGTGTTGTCATTTTGGGTGATTGTGGTGGAGGGAAGGAGGGCAGGAGGGGAAAAGAGGGAGAGAGGGGGGAAGAGAGGGTTTATGACGATCGCTCTGGCAGCCTATTCTCACTCTCCGATGCGGATCTGCTTGGGCGGGGGGGTGGAGGAGGGGAGTGCGTGTCAATGTTGCGTGGATGCACGCACGCGTGTCTTATATTCTCATGGTATTTACATCAACTCACGGCAATTCCTACATGAGCAGAGCGTGCACAACAGAGGGAAGCTAAGTTTGAATCCGATGGGGGGGGCTGGTCTAGAGAACCATTGAAATCCATGCGCCCAGGGGTGGCGATATTGCGAGAGCAAAGCTGACAACACTTCAAACAAATTCCAGGGAACTGACGATTCGCGCAAATATATCCAACACCAATGCCATGACACACAAACCAAGAACGCACGCAACCAACGCATCCCAGATATCAACCCGCAATTCCGAAACAATCGATGTGCAATACATCCGCCAGTACATCGCCATTGTTATGGCCCCATCCCCGCAAGCGACGCATAACGTCTTTCTGAGGCTTATGCCTGGCCTACTCAGGCTGATTCCGATATTCTTTCTGACGGCTGCCCCCATCATTATTCCAATGCGCTCCCACGCTTCATTGATCAATTCATCTCGCCCTGGCATCATGGCTGGATGTGCTGGTGGGGAGAAGTGAAGCGTCAAGAATCTCGAATCCGAACAACTCAACCACGCATGCGTGTCCAAGACCACATAATTAATCCGCCACCGTGCCTGGAATAATGCCAAGGTCTGTCTGGTAAGGTGTGTGCATTCTACTGAGAGACCCCTCGTACCCGCGTCCAGTCGCATGCACCGCCCCGGCTCCCAAGGCCACGATCCTTTGTTCACATTTATTTATATTTGTGTGTGTAAATATAGATGCACATAACTCTATATATATATATATACACATGTATTTGTCAATGTACATTTACATCTATATATATATATATATATATATATATATGTGTATATAAGTGCGTGTGAAGCAAAGGATCCACATTCATGACACAGCGATCCATCGTAGAAGAAAACTGTGTGTCCGCGTCCCGAGCTTCAAAGACGGTCCAGACATAAAACCAGAGACACTAAGATGGCCCAAGATGCCTCGACGACGGCCCAGGATGGCCCCAAGGCCTCCCCAAGTTGGCTTCAAGACGGCCCAAGATGCCTCCAAGACGGCCACAAGCGAACATCCAACATGGTTCGAAAAGGCCAAACTCAATGAGCTCCCTTTGCTTGTTGAGCGATTATCGCGTTCTCGCCTTTTCGGGCTTCCGCCAACTCAAGACGGCCCACGAAGCCTCCGCGATGGTCCCGCGAGCGGGAGCCTGGGACAGGCTCCAGGACGGGAAATGGATGGCGTGCCGCGCCGAAGCGTCGTGGGTCAGAACCGGCGGAACGACACGCTGTCCCAGAGTTCCCGACCGTACTCCCCCCTGACGTTGGCCCCCGGCAGTCCTCCCCCTCGACCAGGAGGGAGCCACCAGCGCGCAGGGGGTCGGCCGCCTCGTCCAGAGGCCGGTGAGCCAGCACGTAGGCGGGGTTGTCGGTGGCCCGGCGGTAGCGGCGCACCTCCACCTGGTCGGAGGGCCAGCATTCCCCCCCGCCCCCCTGGACGGGAGGGGACCGAGACTTCCAGACAGGAGCCCTGAGATCCAGTCGCTGCAATCTTTCAACACCGGGCGGCTTCGCCCAGCTTTGGGTCTCGGGGCCATGACAGTCCGATCCAGCTCGAAACACGTGGCAGGAAGCTGGGGTCTGAGTCTGGGGCTCTGATGCTAATCGTCTGCGATGTTGGATGTTTGGCAACGTCAGATCTGAAGGAAGAAGAGACATGGAGATGGGGACCCCAGGCCCGACTCCAGAGGACCATTTGGCGGGGCAACAAAAACTCGTGTGGCCCAGCTCGGGGACCTAAGGGCAGGGGGCGCACATCCTCGATACAGATGCGTGCGAATATCCCCCTCGGGGTGGATCTCAGAGGTCCTCTTCGTTTCTCAACGGCCATGGAGGAGCTCGGCTGAGCTCGGGGATTGGGGGCGAGAAGTCACCTGCGAATCCAGACCTCAATCAGCTCGACGAAATCGGATCGCAGAGACATTTTCGAGCCCGGGGACCGTCAGCCATCGGCTCGGAACGAGGGGCCGACTTTGGGCAACTATCTGGGAGGTCTGGGGCCCCGAGATGGGAAACCATCGAGTCGCCGGTCCAGGGAGGAGAGGGAGACAAATTGGCAACTCCAAATGTCGCAGGGGCTCTGACTTGTCTGACGTATGCGGCCAGTTCTGGCCTCCACTGGTGCCCTCGCCGTCACGGCTGGCTTCGCACCAAATCTTTGGAGCCCCGAAACGGTGCGGTGACAGACCGTGCGGTGACCTCGAAATCCCCCCAGACCTCACCGCACGGTCCGTCAACGCACGGTTTTCGGGACCTCGGATGCCCCAGTCGCCCGAAACATCCTCGGAGAACGACCCGAGTCCCAAAACCGTGCGGTGACCCCGAATTCCCACCGACTCACCGCACGGTGTGGTCACCACCCCGTTTAGGGACCCCCGAAGATCTTCTGGCGAGAACGCGCACCCAGTAGCAGTCCGGGGAGCCGACGAGGACGGCCCTGCGGTCCCGACGCAAAGGGAGAGAGCGAGCGGGAGGGCAAGGGACAAGGGGGCCGAGAGATCCGTGACGACTTTGTTCTCTAATTTTTTTGAAGCTGGAGGCCGAGATTGGGTCCCAGGACCGTCAGCTAATCCTCCGCGATGACTGGACATTTTCTTAGGGTGGAGGGCTCAGGGTGAAATCCAGGTGTGCGTTTGCACCTCGACAATCAATCCGTCTTGTGATTCACCTTTTGCAGATTCAAGCCTCGAGCAGCCATCGAAACGGCATTTTAGATTTCACCCTTTGTCCTCCACCCAAAGAAAATGCTCGGGATGGGAAGCTGTCCATGGGAATGGGTCGAGAGGTCCCAGAACAGAAAAACCGCGACGTCGAACGTCTGGGTGCGAGGGAGGGGGAGAGGAGGCATTCTCCTCCATCCTCCCGTCTCGTCGTCGTCCTGCTGTTCCTCGTCCTCCCCCTCGTCTCGGCTCTCATGTTCCATCGCGCAGAGCACGCGGCGAACCCACGACCCCTCGCTCATGGAAGCCTCACCTGGCACACACGGCGTGAGCCTCGTATCCTCGCCCCCCTACATCCTCCCTGCTCGGCGTCCTCCCCCTCTTCCTTCTGCCTCTGCCAGTAATGGGGAAGGAGGGGGGGCATCATGCATCATCCTCGATCATCCCCCGTCCAAGCGTCCCTCCTCCTGCAGACTCGAAAACAGAAAAAACAAAACGCCCCAGCAAAAAAACTCGATCCTCCTCCCCCTATTCCCTCTCCTTTCCTCTCCGCTGCCTTAAAGGCAAATCCGAGGCTCGGACTGCCCACCCTGCCATGAGGCGCAGTCCCTAGAGCGCGTTTTTTTTATCATCGGCGACGACGGGCGTCATGGGGGAGGGGGGCGGGGGGGTATGACGCAACGCTCCCCCCCGCCGTGCGGTTCTGGCATCACCGCCGTGCCCGCGCGCACGACGACGATGAGCGACGAGCGACGAGCGACGACGACGATGACGACGACAACGACGACGCGAGCAGCATGTAGGTAGCGATCTGCCCCACAGCGCCTGTGTACACCACAGTGCTCGCGTGCACCACAACGCTTGTGTACACCACAACGCCTGCGTACACCGCAACAGCCGTGTACAATGCAGCGCCTGTGTACACCACAGTGCTTGCGTGCACCACAGCTTCGGCGTACACCACCGCGAATGTGTACACCACAGCAGCCATGTGCAACACAGCGCCTGTCCACACCACAATGCTTACGTGCACCGCAACGCTTGTGCACACCACTGTGCCTGTCTACACCACAGCATCCGCGTACAACGCAGCGCTGGTGTACACCTGAGTGCCTGCGCGCACAGGACAGGTAGAAGGAACATGTCGGTCAGGATTTGCTGCGGACAGGTAAACGCTACGCCAGGGATGTGCTGATAATGGAATGCGACGTTTTTTGCACTCCTCCCTCCTCCACCTCCGCCTCCTCTTCCTCGTCCTCATCCTCCTCGTCCTGCTCCTCCTCCCCCACCCTTCCCCCGCGTCGTGCGGGTCGGCACTACAGCGCACGTGCGCGTCTCAGCGTGCACCGCAGAATGGTCTATTCACTGGTGCCGTACTGAGTGCACGCAGGCATTGTGGTGTACGCTGGTGCTGTGTTGCGCACGGCTGATGTGGTGTACGCAGGCGCTGCGGTGTACACAAGCGCTGTGGCGCCAGCAGGCACTTGTGACGCACACTGACGTTGTGGTATGGTGTGCACAGGCGCTGTGGTGCACGCAGGCACTATGGTGTACACAGGCGTTGTGGTGCAGATCGCCACCGACATACTGCTGCTACCCGTCCTCGGTGATTCCTAGGCGTTCCTGGACGCCGCCGGCGCGAGACGCGACGTCACCGGCCCCCTCCACCCCCCCCCCTTGATGATTGCCGTCATCGGCCCGGAATAAAAGACCAAATAGCAGGCTCCAGCTGCGTCCGCGCGCACGACGACGATGAGCGACGAGGGGCGAGCGACGAGCGACAACGACGACGACGACGGCGACGACGACGACGTCGACGACGACGACTGCGGACCAGACTCCTCTGCGGATTCCTATGCGGACACCGATGCGGGCCACGATGCGCACTGCGGCAATGCCCGGAACGCACTGGGAAGGGGAGCATTACGTCATAGGGGGGGGAGGGGGCCGGGGGCCATGACGCCCGCAATGCCCCAAGCAATAAAGAAACGGGCTCCTACAGGTACCCTGACCTTCCAGAGAGCCATTTTTTAGCACTGGAGGCCTAAAAACCTAAAAAACTAAGCGACACAGCCTAAAACCAAGACGTAGAGTAGCTCTAGGATAGGTTTTTAGGTCGGGTGCTATTTTTTAGCCCTCCTGGAAGGTCAGGGTAGGAGGGCCCCCTGTAGCGAGCAGCAGGAGCACCCATCCCATTGGCCGCGGGCTTACCGGCTGGCGGCGCTGACGCGGGGGGCGCGCCCGGCCTTGGGCCCTCGGGGAGAGGCCTCCGGCGCCCTCCAGGGCCGTCGGGGAGCGTCGGGGGAGCCGCAAAGGCGAGGAGCCCCAAAAACCTCAGAACCTAAAGACAATCAACGATCTGACCTCTTGGGGCCCTCTTGGGAGGCCTCTTTGAGGCGATCGTTCGGCGGCCCCCCCCAAGCACGTGAACTGGTGGTGCCGGGCGGCAGCCCCGCGGTGAGCTGGGTGCTGCGCGGGAGCAGATTGCCGATCCTTCTTCATTCTTCGTTCCCAGCGCTCCCACCCCCAGCGCGAGGATGCTCTTCGTCGTGTCTGTCCTCCTATTCCTCCTCCTCCTCCTCCTCCTCCTCCTCATCGGTCCTCGACGATGACGCCACCGACATCGACGCCGACGCCGACGCCGAAGAGGACATGAACAATCAACATCGACTCGGCAAATCGGATCGGATCGGAACGTGCATCGAATCGGACCGCATCGACCGAGTCATGTTCGAACTGCATCGGCGGCGCCGGGAGGCAAAACAGCACAACGCAGGCATCGGAGCGCATCGGAGCGCCCGAACATCCGCATCGAATCACATCGGGCTGGCCGGAGCCGATACCGAATCGGACCAATGAGATCGGCAGGGACCCCGCGAGGGCGACGACGCCGCCCCCGCCTGGCCGGAGAAGACGCAGAACACCGCCCGCTCGGAGGCCCGCACCGCCTCGTGCAGGAAGGCGTGGCCCTGTCGCGGGCGTCGCGACGGAACGCCCGTGCGCCCTCGGCCTCCATAGTGTCCACCCCGGCGGCCCTTCTCCACGTTCAGCCCGTTCGGCGACGTGCCCCCCGAGGATCCCGCGGAGCGCTGAATGCGGATGCGGCCAAGGACTTCTGCTTAGCATGTCGCGGTGGCGACCCTGGTGACTCGCTGCCATGCAAGCGGGCAGCGTTTCGCTCCGCTCCGCGTGGTGGGAAACTCGGGAAAGCTCGGGACCGTGACGCCTGGTGATCGCGACATGGATAGCATGCGCCAGCGGCTCTTCTGCACATTCCACCCGTCTGACGGAGCGCTGGACGCGGATATGACCCGCCCAGGGTAGAGAGCAGAAACATCACCCTCATTGGAAGCACCCCGACGAGCGAAGCCGCCCAGTAAACGCACCCATGGAAGGAATCGAACAGTGGAGGGCCCTTTTCATAAACTCCCATTCTGAGGGTCGGGGTACTTTTCCCTCCCTTCACTGAAAGGGGGCGTACCCGCATTCGTATTCATGGATTCGCGAGATCCTCGCCCGCGGAGCGTTGGATGTGAATGCGTTCCGCTCCGAGAGGCGGGGGGGCCAATCCACATGGGAGCGCGTCTCCGCATGGGTGGACACGGCTGCGTCCCAATCGTGGGACCTGGAGGAGCACCTCGTGTGTTGCACAGCGTTGATTGCGACACATTAACCCTCCTCTCACCAGAAGAACAGACTCTACCATCTCCCCGGGCCCAGGGCTGACGGTCCACCTGCTCGCATTCCAAGGTGCATCGGATTGTGCCGCACCGCAAATTATCCATTTGAGCTCATACGATCTGGGCCAGGCCAGTATTGACATACACACACACGTCCACACACATACACACTCTGCCCTGTCAGATAACACTATGCGCGCACTCGTTTATCTCCACCAATCTCTCTCAAGACTCCACACGCAGAAAAACCAACACAGACTCCAAACGCGCACGCACATGTCGACAGCGCACCAACCACATTCGTTTCACAGGCATTACATATCTCAGAACCTCCAGCAACCACTGTTTGGCGCTCGTCGAGGCTGTGGCAGGTCATCTGCCCACGCGCACTCCCGACACTTGCAAGAAGGCCGCGGGACCTCAACAATCTCGTACATAACTAGCAGAGCTCCAAACAATACACCACCACCGGCCCTGGCCAGGCCTGTCGTGGGCCCTGGACTGGTGCACGGGCCTTCCTGGCCTAGGCCAGAGGGTCTGCACACTGATCCAGGGCCCATGAAGTGCCTGGCCAGGGCTGGTGGTGTTATGGGTGGCGTCCCTCCGACTAGTGCGCCTTTTCTTCGCACCACGCGGTGCACTCGCGTTGATCCAACATGCGCCCAGCGCACGAAACAGCACCGACGAACGCAGTGCGGGCCACATGCGCGCAACGCCACGCGCTCGTGCGCCAGAACCCGTTCAATACGATCGTTTTGCAAGGCGCGTCAAAGTAGAGGTTTTTCGCAAACCAAAATAAAAAGCCGACCCTGTCGGCGAGTGTGGGGTGTTTGTGTGGTCCCGTCGACGGGGAGCCTTCTTTCGCCCCCTCCTTCCCATCCTCCTCTCCCTTCGGAGGAGAGAGAGAGAGAGAGAGAGCACCCTTCCTCGTTCGGGGACCGGGTTCGCAGCTTTAGGGAATTCCACCCACGTCCTCGTTACGTCGAAGGGAAGCCCCTTCCCTTTGTCCCTTCCCCGGCGGGGGAGGGGGGGCGTCCCGGGGTGGTGGGGGGAGGGTCAGATTCGCATCGCCTCTGCAGGGGGCCCTCCTCTCCCACGCCGGTCCTTCTCTGGCGCGCCGGTCCTCCTCGGGTCCTCTTCCCCAGGTGGGGAGAAGTCCCAGGGGGGGGGAGGGTCAGATACGCATCCGTCCTTGGGGGTCCTCCTCCCCCAACCCTCTCCTCTCCCACGCTGGTCCTCCTCCGGTCCCCCTCCGCACGGGGGGGGTCCCAGGGGGGACTCCTTTTCCTCCTCCTTCTCCTCCTCCTCCTCCTTATCTCCTCCTCCTCCTCCTCCTCCTCCTCCTCCTGCTCCTCGTGGGCATCATCGGCATCTTCGTTACAGACATCGGCGTCGTCATTGGCCTTGCCATCGTCATCGTCATCATCGCCACCACCGTCGCAATTATCATCATCGTTTCCGCCAGTATCATCACCATCATCGCTACAATCATCGTCGTTTCTACCATTGTCGACGTCATCATGGTATCGCGCCCGCCCGAGTCACCGACCCACAGTGAAGTACTCGCGAGCCAGCGCGGCCTTTGAGACGCACTGGGAAGTTCCTGTCGGTAAGCGCCATCGCGGCCGCAGCGGTTGTCTCAAACCAACTTGTCGCTCTGCGCGCGAGACTGCGCGCGCCAGCGCGGCCGTTTACATGCGCTAGCAAGTGCCAATCAAACAAGTGCAATTCAGTAGCCGCAATCGTGGCCGAATGGAATTTGCCGAACAAGTTGCGGGTGGGAGGGCGGGATGTCTTCTCGAGCAGTGGAGTAGACAATTCAGTGAGGCTCACATGAGCTACATCGCGCAGACTGCACCACACAGCGGTTGCACCATACAGATCTTGAGCCACACTGACTGCACATCGAGAGTGCAGAAGCGTTCTACTTTGGGGTCTCGCGCTGGCTAAGACGTGAGGCCTCATCGCGGACCTCTGGAGACATCCCCGAAACCAGGCTGTGCCAACTCTCGCTCCCGCTCCTGCTGCTCCGGCCTCCTTCTCCCCATCCCTCGTCTCCTCCTCGCCCTCCTCCCGTTCCTCCTCTGCCTGGGCTTCGCCATCACCCTCTTCCTGTGGCACCTCCTCCAGCCCTCCCACTCTTCCTCCCCATCGCAATTCGAAGTCTCCCCGTTACCGATTCCTCATCGCCAAGGTCTGCCACTGGACTCTTCCCCCTCGGCCCCAAAAGGCCTCCGGAGGTCCCCAAAGCCACGCCAGGAGTCCGAACACGAAGACCTCGACTCTTGATCCTCGTCCTTCTCGCCCGAATTGCTGGCCCATGGGGCGCTCATCTTCCAAGGCGTCTGCCTCGCACAGATCATACGACTTCTTGCGAGGAGTGGCGATGGGCCTTTGGAGCATGGTTGATACATCTTGGGTTTACCAGGGTCCTCCTCCTCTTCCTCCTCCTCCTCCTCCTCCTCCTCCTTCTCATCATCATCATCACCACCACCACCACCACCACCACCATCATCATCATCATCATCATCAGCATCATCATCATCATCGTCATCGTCATCATCATCATCATCATCATCATCATCATCATCATCATCATCATCATCATCATCATCATCATCATCATCACCCTCCTGCTGGTCCTCCCTCACACCCGCACCGCCAAAGACAGGTCACCCACACTCGCAGGCACCGAGGGGCAGGGGCGAGGAGTGTGGAAGGGACGAGGAAGAGGAAGAAGAGGGGAGGAGGAGGGAGAGGGAGAGGCGGGATAAAGAAATATAGGAGAGAGGGACGAGGAGAGAGGAGGGAGTAAAGAGGCTTCAGAGAGGAGAGAGGGAGGGGGGGACTGAGGAGGGAGGAAAGAGGCGGGGGAGGCGGGAGGGGACCGGGAGAGGAGGCGCGAGGGGACGGGTGGCGGGCCCAGCCCCGCCTGCTTGAACTCCCGCAGGACGAAGAAGGTGGCCGGGTGCGTCAGCCTCCGCGGAGCGCCCCGGGGCGGCGGGGGCCCTGCCCGGTGCGCGTGCGCTGGGCGGCGCGGCCCGGCGGGGGGCCGGCAGGCAAAAGAGAAAAAGGGAGGAGCACGCCCCGGGGACTGCGGCCCGTCCCCCTCGGGTGACTACCTACCAGACCACCCCAACCCAACCCGAAGACCCGAATTTCGGGTTGGGGGGGTAAGGGTTCCACACGTGTTTTTTCGATGTTTCCCGACCCCCCCCAACTGGAAATCGAGGGTAAATCTGAGCCTTCGGGTTGGGTTGGGGCGGTTTGGTGGGTGGTGATCGGGCACCGCTGCGGGGACAGCGGGCGGCCACAGTCGCATCGAGTGCACGACCGGGGGGGGGGATGTCCTGCGCCTGCCGGCAGTCGTCCGAGCAGCGAAGCCGGCTTACTGCTGGCTGCGGTCGGAGTGGCGTCCCAGGACGGCCAAACCGACCACAAGCACAACCCAAGTGCTCGTGGTGGGGGGCCCTCCCGACAAATCCAGGCAGTTGCGGTAATTGGTGGTTCTTTGTTGTGCTCGGACCCTCTCCCTCATCCATCGGTGGACGCGCCACGCCCAGTTAACGCAGACAAGAACTCTCGCAGGCCGCCGTACTCCGCGCCGAGGTCGCCAGCGCGTGGCCCAGCTGGAAGGCGGTTCTTCTTTCGGCTCTGGCAAGGCTGCTGACACTTGTAAGCGTCCAAAACCCGGATAGCGAAGTCAAGCGCGGAACGTCGCACGGGGACCTCTGCCAGGCCACCTGAAACGATGCGCGGGAAGCTGGAAATCTCGCAGGAGACGCTTGCAGGGGAGTCGTTTACGATGCGTGGGGCCCTGCAAAGCGCGCAAGGAAGATCTGCCTAGGAGCCTGGAAGCACTGCCGAAGCTCTGCCTAGGAGCCTGGAAGAACTGCCAAAGCTATTCCGAAGCTCTGCCGAAGCGCTTCGCGCACCCTGGAGCCACGCGTATTGGGAAACGCTAGGAAGCCACGCTCCCGGACCCGCTGCAACCTCCGGCAACCCGCTGCGAGAATCGTGGACCGGCGAAGGTGGGCGTGTGCTCCTCACCACCCACCGCCGGCTTCTTATCTGAAACCCTCAGCTCTCCAAGGAGCTATCCGGGAATGGAGGGGGAGGGGCAGACGACCCGCAGGGAGGGAGGTGCCCACCGCGCCGCACCCCACGGCAAAAGAAGAGCAGGAGAGGGAAGAGCAGCAGCAAGGACAGGAGGAGGAGGAGGAAGAGCAAGAAGAAGAGGATGAGGACGAGGAGGAAGAAGGAGGAAGAGGAGGGAGAGGGGCAGTAAGGCGAGTGCAAGCCCTTGAAGACCGTTGGTGTGGCAGCGGAAAAAAAAGTACCTCTGGCTCGGGCTGGGGAGTCACAGACCTTTCTAACGGCCCTTTTTTCATCTACGTCTGTGATGCAAACGCGGGAGGGGCAGCAGGAGGATGAGGAGGAGCGAGATCGCAGGATGCGTGGGCAGTGGGAGGGGGGACTGAGTCTCTGGACGATGGAGGTCGGCCACGCGCAGGAGGGGGGCGGGGGGGATGGGGGGAGGGCTTCTCAGAAACACCCCTGCTTCTCAGAAGGCGCGGGCCTTGTCCCCAGTTGCAGGGGCGGCGCCTTCTGAGGAGCAGCCTCCTTCCAGGAAGCCTCCCCCCCTCCCCCATACCCCCCTTGGTGCGCCCCGCCGAGGGAGAGGCGGCGAGGCAGCCTGGAGGATCGAGGCGAGCGAGGCGGGAGGGGCGGGAGGGACGGGGGAGGGGGGCAGAAGGGGCGAGCCGAGGAAAAGGGGGCGAGGCAGCCGGGAGGCTCGAGGCGAGGCGAGGCGCAGGGCGGGGAGGGAAGGGGGGGGGGCCTGACCTTCCAGAGAGCTATTTTTTAGCACTGGAGGCCTAAAAACCTAAAAACTAAGCGACACAGCCTAAAACCAAGACGTAGAATAGCTCTAGGATAGGTTTTTAGGTCGGGTGCTATTTTTTAGCCCTCCTGGAAGGTCAGGGGGGGCCGGGAGCGCGAGGAGGGCGGAGACCCCCCGGGGAGCAGCGGCCCGGGGAGCGAGGAGGCCCGCAGGCCGGGCGGGGGCGGGGAGGCGGGCCGTGCGTGCACAGGGCGGGAGGGGCGGAGACCCCGGAGCCGGGCAGGCGGAGAGGCCCTGGGCCGGGCGGGCGGGGAGGCGGAGGCCCTGACCTTCCAGGAGGGCTAAAAAATAGCACCCGACCTAAAAACCTATCCTAGAGCTATTCTACGTCTTGGTTTTAGGCTGTGTCGCTTAGTTTTTTAGGTTTTTAGGCCTCCAGTGCTAAAAAATAGCTCTCTGGAAGGTCAGGGGAGGCGAGGGGGGCCGGGGAGCCCACCGAGGACGTGCGCGCCCAGCCTGGAGGGGCCCTGGGGCACACATGCACACACAACAGCAGGGTTCCCCACATGTTCATATCTGTTCTGGGCTTCTGTCTTCCCCCCCCACTTCCCATGTGTTTCCCTCATGTTCGGGGGAATCGGAGATGAATAGTGTCTGTGTGTTTCTTCTCCTCCTAACAAGCACGTGCATGGATACAGTCGCCCCGAAGATTGGCAGCATGGGGGGCCGTTTCACGATGCTTGAACTTGCCTGCCAGTGAAAGAGGAATCTTGACACGCAGCTCTACTCGCAATCGCCCCGCTGTCATGCCCCAGGGCGTGGTCCCTGAAGCGGGTAAGAAGCGCGCGCCCCAACGGACCGAGACCGAAGAGTGAGGACGCGCGATAAGGATGCAAGGGCCTTGGAAGGCCGTGTCGACACTCTGCGGGCGGGGCGCAGCCGGCGAAAGCGGCCAAGGATGAACCGAAGGGGAAGGATGCGAGGGCAACCTCGGAAAACTGCGCATCCTTGCTATGAGAGTTGACTGTTGACTGCACATGGATACGGACCCCCAGACCGCGAGACCAGCCTCTTGCTACGAGTGTTCGCGCAATGCGTACTTTCGAGACCAACGTAGATGCATCCACAGTCCAAACTGATAGTAAGAATACACAGTAGGGATGCAAGGGCCCTGGAAGGCCACGCCGACACCTGACGAGCGGGGCGCGGCCAGCGAAAGTGGCCAAGGGTGGGCCGAAGGAGAACGATGCACGGGTACTCTTGGAAAACCGTCCTACGACGAAGCCAGGTCGAATATAAGTCGAGTGGGGATCAATCGAGAATCTCTGAGATCTGGCGGCTCTGGAGGATGTCTCGGGCGCCGCGGCCTTCTCAGAGCGTTCTGGAACACTCCGAGAACGTTCCGGAACGCATTGGAGCGGATTGATCCTTGTCCTGGCCCCGCCCGATACGTCCTTCTGTCGCTCCTGATCGGCGAATCCGAAGGGTGTGGTTTGCAAAGGGTGTGGCTCGCAACCTGCGCCCAAGGGGGCTTCCTGGGGGGGGGGCGGGCGAGGCGCTCGAGAGAGCTCTCCGCCGCGCCCCGAGGAGGCCCGACGAGGACAGCGTCGTGCGTGCTCCCCAGGCCCCCAACGGCGCCGATAGCAAGCCACACCCGGCGTGACCACTCCCTTTGTGGTCGCCAGGATACCTCCTTCCTTCGCTTCCGATGGGTGGCTCCGTGTGCACCCTGCCCCAACCCACACTACTTCTGAGGGGGGGCGGGGATTCACGCCGCTCGGGATCTCCCAAGCGATGTGACCCCCAACCCCCCTTAGAAATCGTGGAGGGTGGGGGTACGGTGCACGTTCGGCGGTGGACAAACCTCCCTTTAGCAAATCTCCCTTTAGTGAAAACGGCCTAGGGTCGAAACCGACGGACCTGGACCCGCAAGAATGACGGCCGCGACGCCCTCCCGTGGACCGAAAACGGCCGATTCGCCAATCGACGTGTCAGTGTACGAGGTCTATCCACCTCCGACGCATGGACCCACCGACCCGAGGCGAGGCGGAGGCGGGCACGAGCAGGGGGGGGCCAGGGGCCGGAGGAGCGGCGCACGAGGAGGCATCCGGCGACGCTGGGCGCGCACCTAGCGAAATCCCCCCCCCGCCCCCAGGAGGTGGGCGCGCACGGCGCGCGGGCAGGGGGATGACGGGCCGATTTCCCCCAACCAAACTACCATGGGCAAGAGACGGAGGAGGAGGAGGAGGAGGAGGAGGAGGAGGAGGAGGAGGAGGAGGACCTCCCCTTTCTCCCTTCTCACGCGTCTCACCTATTGCAGTGGGGGTGGAAAATTAGCCCATCCGCCCCACGCCCCCAGGAAGGGGGCGCGCGGGGCGTGCGAGGCGCGATGTGTGGCCAGGGGGAGGCTCGCGGTAAAAAAGACCCTTCGCTTACCACTTTCACGTTTTTTCTTCGCCCCCTGGAGGAGGAGGAGGAGGAGGAAGAGGAGGAGGAGGAGGAGGAGGAGGAGGAGGAGGAGGAGGAGGAGGAGGAGGAGGAGGAGGAGGAGGAGGAGGAGGAGGAGGAGGAGGAGAAGGAGGAGGAGGAGGAGGAGGAGGACGGGGAGGGGGAGGAGGAGGAGGGAGGAGGAGGAGGAGGAGGAGGAGGAGGAGGAGGAACATGAGGAGGAGGAGGAGGAAGAGGAGGAGGAGGAGGAGGAGGAGGAGGAGGAGGAGGGCCGAGGCCCATTCCAGCAGCTACTACAATACAGCAGAGCTCGACGAGAGCTGCAAGACCGCGGCACTGCTGCGCCGATCGGCCTTCTGTGGGTCACGTTCAGGCTCTGAAGCCGATTCGACAGAACAGTGAAGCCCGCGGCAGCGGGTGGCCTCCTGCTCAGGGCTCGCCCAGGGCGCCCCTGGCCCAGGGTGTGCCCCCAGCTTCTCATTCGCTTTTGGAGCCCCTGGGGCCCTCTGGACCTCGTAAGTGAATGATGCTCTGGAGGCCGTGGGGGCCTCCTTGGAAATCCTGGGGGCACCTTGGGCCAGGGGCACTTCTAGCAACACCCGACCTGCCCTCTGCTCCAAGGCGCGCGTCTGGACAAGGAGGCGGGGCGAGAGCAGGACGGCGAGGAGACGCCGATCTGTGCTGGGCTCAGCTGCCACGGGATGCAACACGCAACCCGCAGCGTGTTGACACGGATCTCGACACTCAGATGGAAAAACGAAGGTTTGACGCGACGCCTTTGCCAAAACGTGGGCCAACACGTGCCGAACCAACACGCAGCGCGTTCAACCCAGATGTGTTGACAACGGCACATGCTGCGCTTCAGCGGGGACGTATCATGGCAGCGAAGGCGGTGGGCCACTCCTGGGCACAGGGTCGCTGTGTGCGCGCCTCCCTGGCCTGGCCATGCACCGATCCTGGGCGCAGGATGGGCCCGGCCAAGGTCGGTGTCGGCGCCTTGGCTGCCGCTGTCCGAGGGGGGGAGAGAGGGGCTCCGGCACCCGACAGGCCGCCCCCCGCACGCGCGCGCGATCCCGCACCCGCGCGCGCCGCCGAGACAGGAGGGCGGAGGGCCTGTAGCCGAACTGGGCCCCAGGGAGGTTGGAGCAGATGAAGTCCTTCTGGGCGTTCACCTCGCACTCACCGTGCGCTCGTGCCGATGCCGTCGCAAACGCTGCCCCATAAAACCGCGATTGATCCACGATGGGTCCCAAATGTTCAGCTGGGCGGGGCCCGGCGCACAGCTGGGGGCCACAACGTCCGAACGCTTTAAGTCGGGTACAATTATCCATTTGCTCTCGGCAAACTATTGTTTTTTGTTGGCTGGCTGGCCTCTTTCTTGGCGGAGCGCCGGGAAAGAGTCAAGCCCGGCACTCTCGTAAAAAAATGCGCGCGCCGGTGTCCCAACATCCCATATATATTATAATATATATATATATATATATATATATATACACAAGACTGAATTGGCGCTTCGCGCCATGCACCTTGGTCTTTGAAGTTTGGCACGCAAGCGGAATTGCAGGAAGGTCAAGCCGACTATTTAACGATAATTCCTGGTTGCCTTTTCTGGCATCGCCGCCATAATAATGTTACTCGTTATCCTTCCTCCATGCTTCGTTTTCCTTATTTTCGCCATGCCCTGCGCATTCTCCCCATCCTCAGCTCTTTTTTGCGGAGGTTCCTCCTTGGAGAGCCTCCAGGGGCCTCACAAAAGTTGTTTCAGGCTTTCTTCAGGCCTTCTGGAGACCTCTTGGGAGTATTCTAGGGGCCTCCAGGGGCTTCCTCGGGCCACCCTGCCTCCAACCGCGGTCTCCCTGAACGACCGAAACACGGTTTGGAATTCTTCGGAGGGTGTCTTTGGGCCATCTTGGGCCGCCATGGGGCTCACTGAGGGCTATCTTGGACCCGTGTTGTGCCGTTTTGGAGCTCTCTTGGACTGCTTGGAAGCCCTTTCGGATGGTTGTGGGGCGATTTGGGAGCCTCCCAGGCGGCTTCGGACGCCCAGAAGACCGCCGTCGTGGAGCGTCGGGATGCCGACAAGAGGAGAACCCTAAAATTCACCAAAAAACAACAGAACATGAATGATTTGTGCCTCGGGGGGCCTTCTTGGGAGTGCTCTTGGAGGCCTCTTTTGGGCCGTCCTGGAGGCCTCTTGGGCCATCTTGAGGTCACGTCGGTCACTCTTGGAGCGCTCTTGTGCTGTCTTGGGGGTCTCTGGGACGTCTCCGATGACCCCCGTGATCGCCCTAGGTGTGCTGGGAAGGCTTGGCAAAACGCCAGGTGAGGCCCGGTGGCCGCTTCGAGGCCCGTCTGGAGGGTCCCAAAGCCCCAGATCCCGGGAGTCCGGTTTTGGGGGGGGTGACGGGTTTCCCCCCCGCCCGGGCTCATAAAAAAATAGGAAGAGGAATGTATGTATACAGGTATGACCATACGTCGATATATATATATATATATATATATATATATATGTGTGTAGATATGACTATACCACGGACAGATAGCACTTAAGAGTCCCCTTTGACAACAAACAAACAAGGGCATGGTGAACAGTACATGCACATCTATACACATATATATATATATATGGACAGCCCCCCCCCCAGCACCCACTCTTACCAGTATTCGTTTGCAGCGGTGCTTTCCTTCTGCGCATCGCTGCCGCCATTCTCTTCCTCTTCCGATGAAGCAGAGCGCCATAAAGAGTGCTTTGAGAAGGAAGAGAGAGAGGGAGGGAGAGAGAGAGAGAGAGAGAGAGAAAGAGAGAGAGAGAGAGAGACAGATACAGAGAAAGTGACAGAAACAGAGCCAGAGACCGAGACAGAGACAAAAGGAGCGACAGAGAGACTTGAAGAGCAGCGATCCCTGTGAAATCACAGGGTGCGCGAGGTCAGGGGTCACCGAACCCTGTGTTTTCATTGGGATTTTTGGGATTTCTGGGATGGAAATCAAGGAAACCCTGTGTTTTCATTGGGATTTTTGGGATTTTTGGGATTTTGAGGTCCGACGAAATCTCCACCGCCGCTCCTCCCCCAGGTCGGCGCCTTCAGAATCCCAAAAATCCAAATGAAAACACAGGGTGCGCGAGGTCAGGGGTCACCGAACCCTGTGTTTTCATTGGGATTTTTGGGATTCTGAGGGCGCCGGCATGGAGCGGGAGCGGCGGTGGAGATTTCGTCGGACCTCAAAATCCCAAAAATCCCAAAAATCCCAATGAAAACACAGGGTTTCCTTGATTTCCATCCCAGAAATCCCAAAAATCCCAATGAAAACACAGGGTTCGGTGACCCCTGACCTCGCGCGCCCTGTGATTTCACAGGGATCGCTGCTCCAGCAAGCCTCTCTCGGTCTCTCTCGTTCTTTCTCTCTCTCTCTCTCTCTCTCTCTTGCTCTCTCATTCTCGCTATCTCTCTATCTCTCTCTCTCTCTCTCTTTCTCTCTATCTTTCTCTTTGTCTCTATCTCTCTCCCTCTCTCCGCCTCTCCCTCCCTCCCTGAATGATGATGATGAGGAGGAGGAGGAGGAGGGCGAAAACGAGGATGAGGAGGCGGAGGAGGACGGGGATGAGGAGCAGGATGAGAAAGAGCAGAAAGAGGAGGAGGAGGAGGAGGGGAAGGAGGAGGAGGAGGAGAAAGAGGAGGAGGAGGAGGAGGAGACGGAGGAGGAAGAAAGGGAGGATGCGGAAGAGGGGAGGAGGAGGAGGAGGAGCAAGAGGAGAAGGAGGAGGAGATGAATGAAGAGGAGGAGGAGGAGGAGGAGGAGGAGGAGAAGGGCAAGGAATTTGAGAGGAGGAGGAAGACGAGAAGGAGGAGGAGGAGGAGGAGGAGCAAGAGGAGCAGGACAGAGAGCAAGAGAGACAGAGAGCTGGACACAGAGAGCGACGAGACAGACAGAATCCCTGTCAAAACACAAGGTGTTTCAGAGGCCTCGCAAGAGAGCGACAGGAACAGAGAGAGAGAGAGAGAGAGGAGAGAGAAGGAGAGAGAACGAGATCGAGTGAACCGTTCAACGACCGAAGCAAAATGTTTCCTTGATTTCCATCCCAGAAATCCCAAAAAGTCAAATGAAAACACAGGGTTCGGTGACCCCTGGCCTCGCGCACCCTGTGTTTTCACAGGGATCGCTGCTCCAGCAAGCCTCTCTCGGTCTCTCTCGTTCGTTCTCTCTCTCTCTCTCTCTCTCTCTCTCTTGCTCTCTCATTCGCTCTCTCTCTCTCTCTCTCTCTCTTGCTCTCTCATTCGCTCGCTCTCTCTCTCTCTCTCTCTTTCTCTCTCTCTCTCTCTCTTTCTCTTTGTCTCTATCTCTCTCCCTCCCTCCGCCTCTCCCCCCCTCCCTCCCTGAACCAGGAGGAGGAAGATGATGATGATGATGATGATGAGGAGGAGGAGGGCGAAAACGAGGATGAGGAGGCGGAGGAGGACGGGGATGAGGAGCAGGATGAGAAAGAGCAGAAAGAGGAGGAGGAGGAGGAGGAGGGGAAGGCGGAGGAGGAGGAGGAGGAGAAAGAGGAGGAGGAGGAGGAAAGGGAGGAGGCGGAGGAGAGGAGGAGGAGGAGGAGGAGGGAGAAGGAGGAGGAGATGAATGAAGAGGAGGAGGAGGAGGAGAAGGGCAAGGAATTTGAGAGGAGGAGGAGGACGAGAAGGAGGAGGAGGAGGAGGAGCAAGAGGAGCAGGACAGGGAGCAAGAGAGACAGAGAGCGACGAGACAGACAGAATCCCTGTCAAAACACAATGTATTTCAGAGGCCTCGCAAGAGAAAGACAGGGACAGAGAGATGAGAGAGAAGGAGAGAGAACGAGATCTAGTGAACCGTTCAACGACCGAAGCAAAATGAGTGGGTGCTGGGGGGGGGGCTGCGCATATATATATACATAGATGTAACACGCCAATATTCATAGATGCCAGCCAGCGCGGACCCAAACCCGTGTGTTTCGAGCAAACAATGTGGTACTATCGATGTGGTGCCACCTGTGTGGTACAGCCTGTAACTCAGCAGTTCATTTTAAAGCATTTGGAATGATAGCTCCAGTGTTCGCGAGATCATCCCACCCACCCACCCACCAGGCGGCGGCGATTGCGATGAGAGTTTGGTGTTGGCTGGTGCATCTGTGCGGCCGTGCCAACCCGCGCATGCTCGCGCACAACGGCCAGCTAGTTTGTCGCGACCGACGCGGCCGCGGTAGCGCTGACAACTGGGAGGAGGGAGGAGGAGGGGGAGGAGGAAGGAACAAAAAAGGAAGGAAGGGAAGGAAGAAGTGACGCGGGGCGCTGTCCCTTTAAATCGAAAACCCAACACCACTGGATAGTTGAGAAAGGATGGTACTAGCTTGAATGCTTATTGTATGGACTCCTGCTAAAACCCCATAACATAGTTCCATAAACCTCCAGAATCTCACTGCTCCAACTTACTTTCTATGTGGGATGGCTCCAGCTCTAATAGGGTCTCATTAAGGCTGGACCCAGCTTTGATAGAATCCGATCAGGGCTGGGCCCAGCTGTAACCGAATCCTAGAAGGGCTGGATCCAGCTCTCATAGAATCGTACTTCGGCTGGGTCCCGACGCGACGCGGGCTGCACAAAATCCTTTACAGAGCCGGAGCGGCCTGTACAAGATCCGGTGCAAATCCGACACGGCCTGCGTAGGATCCTGTGCAGAGCCCATGCTTATACAGATCCGATGCGTTCCGTATCGGATCCTACTGTACAACATCCTATACAAATCCATTACGGCTTGCACAGGATCCTATACTGATAGTGCAAGGCCTGCATATGATCTGATACAGAGCCCGTGCGGACTGTATAGGATCCAATACAAATGCGATACGCCATTGTAGAGGACCCGAGACGGTTCCTATACGACCTGTATATGACCCTCTACAGATCCAATACGGCCTGTGTTGGACCTTGCAGGCCCGATGCGGCCTGTGAATAATTCTACAGAGCCGATACGGCCTGAATCGAATCCCCTACAGATCCGATGCGGCCTGTATCGGATCTACACAGATTCGATACGTCCTGTATCGGTTCCTAGACAAATCCGATACGGCCTATAGAGTATCCGCTACAGAGCCGATACGCCTGCATGGAGTCCTGTACAAATCCGGCGCGGCCTGTATAGTACCCATACGGACCTGGCACGGCCTGTAGAAGATCCTATACTGACCCGATCGGGCCTGCAGAAGATCTGGCTGTGTGCCACTCAACACGTACATCCCGCACCCTCGGTATCCGGGCCTCTTCGTCTTCGATCGTTACCCTTCCTGATCTGTCACGTGCATTCGGTGCAGCCCTTAAAACAGGGGCAGAGAGGACGGACGGGAGTGGGAGGGAGAAGGATGGAGTACGGGAGAAATTAGAGGGAGGCGGGCAGATCGGGCGGGAAGACCCTGGGGCGAGGGTCAGAAAGGCGGGCCCAGGCGGCCAGGTCGAGCACGCGCGATGCTGAAGCGTGAGTCCTGCATGAATCGCGAGGATGTCTCGAACGATGGCGCGATTCCCAAGTAAATCGTGAGAAAGGCCAAAGCGACAGCATGCTTCCTGAGTGTCGAGGCCGCGGCGTCTGAATAAATTGCGAGAGAGTCCCACGCGAGAGCGCGGTGCCTGCATGAATTGTGAGGAAGCCCCGCGCGAGAGCAGGATTTTGAAGTACATTGTGAGGAAGTATCAGGCGGGAACCGTTGTTGTTGTTGTTGTTGCTGTTGCTGTTGTTGTTGTTGTTGTTGTTGTGATTGTTGTTGTTGCAGTTCGAGACCCTACACCCCAGTTCGAGCAGGAAGACGTTCCTTGGTAAACAAAAGGGTGCGAGCCCCGAGGGAGGCACTCAAATAAAAGATATGTGCACCGGTGAGGGTGGACCAATAAATGCTCTTCAAGAACGAACGTCCAACAACAACAAACATAATCCGCGCCGCGGAGTCCCACTTCAGCCACCCAGAGACAGTGACTGACCGTTCAGATGTATGTGTCGCATCGTCTACCCTGCAAGCATGTCGGAGACAGCCAGGGGCTACTAGGCCTTGGTTTGCATCACCGCGCCAATGTAGTACATGGTGCCGCTAGCCAGAGCAGCGGCGCCGAGATACATGAATGCTGTGAACGGATGAAAGCGTAAGTAGGCCATAGAGATGATGAGAAAAGCGACCACAAGCGTGACGACGAAACATAGTCCACCTGTACCTTCGGCACTCTGGGGCTTGTTCGAACGCCTGTTCTTTCTATGGTACGGTTTGGTTGGTTTTCCCGGCGCGCGCACTCAGAAAAAGATCCCACTTTCTTGTTACTACCCAGCGCCGTTTTCAGCCTAAAGGGTCCGCTTCAAGACGGCCAGAAGATGCCCCAAGGACCAAGACCAGCTCACGACGCTGGAAAGGCTCCCATATGTCCCCATGAGGGCCCAAGACACCCCAGGAATCCCCGAAGAGACGTCAGAATGGCGTCGAGTGAGGCCCGAGGAGATGAAATCTCGACGATCAATTATGTCAGGAATCTCTGAGTATTTCGCTTCCGAAGCCTCTCGGCTTCGGACTGGGCTCGGGAAAGCTTTAGAGCCCCAAGAACTCCCAAAGACGGCCCAAGACGGCCCCCCAAAAAAGCTCAAAGACAACCCGAGAAAGACTGCCCCACGAGGGCGGCGAGACGGCACCGACACCCGCCCAGACGTCATGATGGCTCAACCGAGCCTCTTCGGGAGAGCTTGGCGGAACGATCGTGCCTCAGACCGCCCAAGAGACTCCTGAGTGGCGCACAGGAAGGCGTCGAGATGCCCCCAAACTGATCCACCCTCCAGAAGAGGGGGAGGAGAGGAGGAGGGAGGAGGAGGGAGAAGGATGAGGAAGACGAGGAGAACGAGGCCGAGGACAAGGAGGGGGCATTTGTGACCAGCGACAGTGCAGACAGGACAGCGAGCTGGAGCGAGTCTTAAACTCAACCTCTTCCCTGCTGCGCTGCTGCACTGGCACGGTGGCGGGGTTCGCCGCAGGCCGCTGGCTAGCCAGATCATCCAAGCCACGCCGGTCCCAAGGTAGGGGCCCAGGAAGGGCACGATGTCAAGCATGACTTCTAGCGGCTTGAAGAGAGCGTACATGCCGTAGAACAACATCATCCACGAAACCAGACGCAAACCCCACTTCATCATGCCGTTGCTGCCGGAGACCCTGCTCCAACATTCCTCGACAGAGACCTTGCCGGAGAAGATGTGGTAAATCTGGGGTGGCGCAATGGCTGTGAACATGTAGGCAACGAGGTTGCATGCGCAGGTGCAGCAACAGAAAAGCTGGGCTACAGGTCCGAGGTCACACTTGTCCCCGTCGTAAAGCTCGTCGGCCGTCTTGCGCCCCTCGGCGATCTGCAAGGCCTTCAACTCCTTCGAAGACGGGCCACTACACCCGCAAAGGCCGCGCGGGACCGTGCGGTAGGGGATGAAGACATCCCGGCCACCGCTGTCACTCTCGGCCTCGGCTTGCAGCGCCAGCACCGTGGCGGGGCCATCTGGGATATACTCAATCCTCACGCGCATGTCGCCAATCTGAGGCGGGCCGCGCGACTCGGGGTGGTAGTAGCAGGAGTCGGGCCCGACGTGGAACGCCTTGTCCCCGATGCTGACGCTCTGGATCGAGAAGAGGCCGCTTCCGGTCTCCGTCTGCCAGTCGTCGAGCTGGTCCACGAGGTCCTCGGACAGGGTGAAGGCGCTCCCGTACTCCACTTCGGGATTCGTCTGCTCCCGTACGCCTGGCTCCAAGCCAGGAACCGAAAGGACATTGTGGTAGCTCCGGTCGTGGAAGCAGTTCGAGTCCTGCTTGCAGTTGAGCCAGCGCCTGGTGTACGAGTAGTTCGTGACTGTGGTCTCCCCCCCACCCACAGAATCCTTCTGCTCTCTTCTTACAGCCTCTTCTTTCCATTGGAAGACTTCAACGGTAGACCTGAGTCGCAAACACCCGCGATCGCAAGACACCTGCTTGAGACGTTCATCTTGCATTGGTTTTACACCTCGTGCCTCCGCGGACGGGATGTGAACGAGAGATCCTCGCAAATCGGGGTCAACCTTCTCGGCCTCCACAGTGACGTACTCGGCCCGTCCGTTCTTGATCAAGGATTCCATGATGGCGTTCCGACGCTCATTCATCCAAATACAGGGTATGGAAAACCATACGAGCAGGGTGCCGATGATGATACTAAGCATGGCGCTCTTCATGCGATCAAACCAGCTCTTGTGAGTGACCGTTGTGGTTGTCTGAGGCGGACGGACGGGAAGAACTGCTTCACCCACCTCCCTCGCGCTAAGGTTGGAAACCGATGCGAGATTGAGCTCCGAAGCTCCGTGGACCTTGCTGGCGTCCACGTCAATCAGCTCCGATTTGCCCTCGTGACGAGCTGCTGAAGTGAGAGGGACGACCACGTAGAACGAAACGAAACTGGCCAAGAAGAGGCGGAGGCTAGCCATCAGGTCTACGCGTGGTGGTATTGATTCCAGACTAGGATCCACACACGTCCGCCGCCTCGGAAACCGACGTCCGAAGGGCCCCCGCAGACAGTGAAGCCGTACTAATACGATCGGTTCCCCTAATCACCTAATAATGATTTGACACAACTCGTGTTGTGGCCGGGCAGGCGCGGTCCCAAGCTCAGTGCCCCAGATGGCCCCACGGTCTGGAAAGCATCCACAGGAGGGCCCAAAGAGCCTTCCAACACGGTCGAGCCAAGTCGCGGCAAAATTGGCCCAAGATGGACCCAAGAAGGCCAGTAAACGGCCCAACGGGCTCCCAAGACAGTCCAAGGGGCCCACGTGAGGACTCGCAAGACTCGCCAACAAAAATGAAACCAATGAATTGCCATACGGAAGCCGCAAGATTTTCGCATGCTCGCTTTTCTGGTCTTACGACTGCCAAGACGGTCTAAGAGGCCCGCGAGATCACCCCGACCAGGCTCGAAAAAAGTCCGGGAGGGCTGCCACGGTGGCCAAAGACGGCCCAGGAAGAGACCAAGACGGTCCAAGAAGGCCCCGAGACGGCCCAAGACGGCCCCCATACACACATATGTGTATATTTGTACATGTACACATACATATATATGTATATATATATATATATATACATATATTTGTGTATATATATATACACAAGACTGCAGTGGCGCTTCGCGCCATGCACCTTGGTCCTTGAAGCTTGGTATGCAGGCGGAATAACAGGAAGGTCAAACCGACAATTTAGCGATAACTCCTTGTTGCCTTTTCCGGCATCGCCGCTATAATAATGTTATTCGGCATGCTTCCTCCATGCTTCTTTTTCCTGATGTTCGCCATACCCTAGGCATTCTCCCAATCCTCCTCAGCTTCTTTTTGCGGAGGCTCCTCCTTGGAGAGCCTCTGGGGCCTCACAACAAGTGTTTCAGGCTTTCATAAGGCCTTCCGGGGGCTTCCTCGGGCCACATGCCTCCAACCGCGGTCTCCCTGAACGAACGGGGCACGATTTGGAATGCTTCGGAGGGTGTTTTGGGGCCATCTTGGGCCGCCATGGGGCTCTCTGAGGGCCATCTTGGACCCGTGTTGTGCCTTTGTTGGGCTCTCTTGGACTGCCTGGAAGCCTTTTCGGATGGTTGTCGGGCGATTTTGGAGCCTCCCAGGCGGCTTCGGACGCCCAGAAGACCGCCGTCTTGGAGCGTCGGGAAGCCGAAAAGAGGAGAACCCCAAAATTCACCAAAAACCTACAGAAAATCAATGATTTTTGCCTCGGGGGGCTGTCTTGGGAGTGCTCTTGGAGCCCTCTTGAGGTCACGTCGGTCACTCTTGGAGCGCTCTTGTGCTGTCTTGGGGGTCTCTGGGACGTCTCCGATGACCCTCCTGATCGCCCCCCCCAGATCCCAGGAATCCGTTTTTTGGGGGGGGGCCGGTTTTCCCCCCGCCCGGGCTTGCAGAAATATAAGAAGAGGAATCTATATATATATATATTATATATATATATATATATATATATATATATATACAAGACTGCAGTGGCGCTTCGCGCCATGCACCTTGGTCCTTGAAGTTTGGTATGCAGGCGGAATGGCAGGAAGGTCAAGCCGACAATTTAGCGATAACTCCTGGTTGCCTTTTCCAGCATCGCCGCTATAATGCTCTTATTCGTTATCCTTCCTCCATGCTTATTGTTCCTTATTTTCGCTACACCGTGCGCATCCTCACCATCCTCCTCAGCTCTTTTTTGCGGAGGCTCCTCCTTGGAAACCCTCTAGGGGCCTCACAAAAGTTGTTTCGGGCTTGTTTAAGGCCTTCTGGAAGCCTCCTGGGCGTATTCTGGGGGCCTCCGGGGGCTTCCTCGGGCCACCCTGCCTCCAACCGCCGTCTCCCTGAACGACCGAATCACGATTTGGAATTCTTTGGAGGGAGTCCTTGGGCCATCTTGGGCCGCCATGGGGCTCTCTGAGGGCCATCTTGGACCCGTGTTGTGCCGTTTTTGGAGCTCTTTTGGACTGCCTGGAAGCCCTTTCGGATGGTTGTCGGGCGATTTTGGAGCCTCCCAGGCGGCTTCGGACGCCCAGAAGACTGCCGTCTTGGAGCGTTGGGAAGCCGAAAAGAGGAGAACCCCAAAATTCACCAAAAACCTACAGAAAATCAATGATTTTTGCCTCGGGGGGCCTTCTTGGGAGTGCTCTTGGAGCCCTCTTTGGGGCCGTCCTGGAGGCCTCTTGGGCCATCTTGAGGTCACGTCGGTCACTCTTGGAGAGCTCTTGTGCTGTCTTGGGGGTCTCTGGGACGTTTTCCCCCCGCCCGGGCTTATAAACATATAGGAAGAGGTATGTGTATATATATATATATATATATATATATATATATATATAGCACCCCGCAGATGCGGATAAGAGTGAGGGGGTGGTGGGGACGTCGGCAGTTTGCGAGACTCTGGAGAAGCCCGCCGCAGGCGCCAAAGTTTCACAAATTATACAATGAGCCCGCCGCAGGCGCCGATTTTTTCTGTAAACCAATGTGGGTAGGTCGCGTGTGGGTCGCGGGTGGTTCGCGGGGTGGTTCGCGGGGGGGTCGCGGGTGGGTCGCGGGTGGGTCGCTGTTGGGTCGCGGGTGGGTCGCGGGTGTAGAGGGCGGAGAGTCCACCGCAGAAGAATCACCCCGACAAGCAAAGCCGTTTAGTAAACGCGCAGAAGGAATGAATCGAACAGGGCAAGGCTGTTTAATCAACGTCCAAGGCTGTTTTAGTAAAAGACAACTGTCGGGTCCGGGTGGTTCTTCCTCCCTTGAGGGTGGGTCGCGGGGTGGGTCGCGGGTGGGTCGCGGGGTGGGTCGCGGGTGGGTCGCTGATGGGTCGCGGATGGGTCGCGGGTTGGGTCGCGGGTGGGTCGCGGGGTGGGTCGCGGGTGGGTCGCGGGTGGGTCGCGGATGGGTCGCGAGGTGGATCACGGGTGGGTCGCAGGTTGGGTCGCGGGTGGGTCGCGGAGTGGGTCGCGGGGTGGGTCGCGGGTGGGTCGACGACGACAACAAACAACAACAACACCACCAACAACAATAACAGCATCAACAACAACAACAACAACAACAACAACAACAATCATTTTACCCGAACGCTCAGTGTTCTCACCAGTGCCAGGGTTTTCATGCGACGCGAGACAATACCCCCACTTCGTGGGGGGGCAGTTCAAGCTCTACCAAATATCCAAACGACTCTTCGCGACCACCCAAACCCAGCTTCCCGCCCTATGACGTTGGGACACTTCACTTCGTGGCGTGCGGACGACCGTGGCTACTACACTGGCGTGGGGTACACACCCACAGAACTTGGTCACTTATTCGGGGCGCGCGTGTGCCCAGCATCCTGCAATTGTGACATACAATACATGACACAGACAGACAGAGAGAGAGACAGAGAGCAGACAGAGAGAGAGACAGAGAGAGCGGAGTTGGTCACATTTTTGGGGCAAGTTCCTGAGATCGTCGTGTTTTTTGTTGGTCTTGCGCGCGCGAATGTCCACTTTACTTTTTTTTTGCAAGGGATGTTGAAATTTGATTATGTAAGAACAAGAAAAAGTAGCTCGCGCGAGCTTATGTAACATAAATGTTGAAAAACCATTGGTTTTGTGGGAGTCGGACAGCGCGCGCGGGATGAAATTTGGACATTTTTTTTTGAAAAACCATTGGGTTTTTGATGTTTTTATGTTGAAATCGTTACGAAACCTAAGGTTCTGGAAGGATTTCGTCTTGCGCGCGCGAATGTCCACTTTACCTTATTTTTTGCAAGGGATTATTGAAATTTGATTATGTTAGAACAAGAAAAAGTAGCTCGCGCGAGCTCATGTAACATAAATGTTGAAAAACCATTGGTTTTGTAGGATTCGGACAGCGCGCGCGGAAGGACATTTTGACAATTTTTTCTTAAAAAACCATTGGGTTTTTGATGTTTTTATGTTAAAATCGTTACGAAACCTAAGGTTTTGGAAGGATTTCGTCTTGCGCGCACGAATGTCCACTTTACCTTATTTTTTGCAAGGGATTCTTGCAATTTGATCAACTAAGAACAAGAATTTTCATTTTCTATTGTTTTTTGCAAGGGAAAACGAGCGTCAACAAAAAACCGGATCCGGTACCAATCGTTTTGCCTGAGACTTCCTCACGAAAATGATGAAAATGTGGCTGCGGCCTAGGCGCGGCGGGGGGGTCGCGCACCAGGGGTCCCAACAATAATTATTCTTAAGAAGAAATAATGTTCAACAGCAACAACAAGAGGAACAACAACACCAACAACACCAACAACAACATCATCATCAACAACAACAATGACAACGACAGCAACAACAACACCGCAACAAACATAATTCTCACAACGAATTCCTTATTCAGCCACGCACCCAAGGACAATAAATGACCGTCCGCCCCCCTCACTCTGATATATGCACAGTTGAATTTCTGTACACAAGTATAGGCGGATGTGTGTGTGTATGGACGTACATGTATGTATGTGTATATGTGTGTAGTTGTGTAAATGTACACGCGTTGTGCTACGATGAAAATGCACGTGTGTGTGTATGTGCGTGCGCGCGAGCATGAACTCTCGACGTCAGCGTTGCTCGTTGGGGCGGTGGCGGGGAACACACTGGGACCAGGGGCCCCTCCATGGGGCCCCAGGACTGGCCGAACTCGGCGGCCGCTCCCCCCAGAACGCCGCCCGCGAACTCCCGGTTTGACTCGAATCGCAAGACAAGTCTGGCCGGTTTGTGTTTCGGTGGCAACGCATGGGAGCCTCCCATTCAATCCAGTCGGCTCCTGCGAATCGACGCCAATCGACGCAAGTCCACGCTAGTCGACAATCAATCGACGCTAGTCGACGCTAAAGCGGCGCTACCCCATCGACGCCAAGACGCTAATCGACGCTAGAGACTGACTTCAGAGGGTATAGAAGGCCACCATGATTTGCGACCGAACTGTGCATACAAAATCGG